GGTGATCGAGCTAATATTGAGTCTCAGCTCACTCATATCCAACAAAAGGGGTCTGTCGATGATTATATAGCAGAATTCACAAAACTCTCTTGTCGAGTTATTGATTGGACCGAAAACCAACTCAAACATGTTTTCCTTGGTGGCTTACGTGACGATATCCGTCACGACGTTCTTGCTCTCGAACCTGAGTCTTTACACCAAGCACAGAAACTAGCCAAAATATTTGAAACCAAAAACCAAGCCAAACGCTCTTTCCGTCCTAGTTTTTCTCGCCAACCCCAACCTCCCCCTTTCTCCCGCCCCACCTTTCCCACCTCTCATTCGCCAGGAACCCTTTCCCCCTTCCAGCCCCCAACCCCACTGCCCCTTTCAAACGCCTAACCCCTGCGGAGGTCCAAGACAAAATCCAAAAAAAAGAATGTTTCCATTGCACCGAACCCCATTTTCCTGGCCACAAATGTAAGACCCCTATGATCGTACTCTTGGACATAGATACCCCGGATGATGACCACCATGAATTCCATGATTGCACCACCGAGGATGAAACCACCATTGACCCACCTTGCCATATGTTGGAGTTATTCTCCATTCCGGGATGTAATATGGGTCGACCCATGCGGTTGAATGGCTCGATCGAATCAACACCTATTCGGGTCTTAATTGATTCGGGAGCTGCTTGCAACCTGCTGCGGGTTGACATTGCACAACAGTTGGGCCTACATATTGAGCACATCTCCCCTGTTCCATTTACCACTGCCTCTCATACCAAAGTCACAGCCACCATGAAGGCCCACAATGTGTCAATAAAGCTTCAGGACTACACCCTTACTGGATCTTTTCTCCTATTAAACATACCTGGATATGATTTAATATTGGGAGCTGAATGGCTTGAATCGCTCGGCTACATTGGGTGGCATTTCAGGAACAAAACTATGCTCTTCACAGTGCACGGCACAACCTACACCCTCCAAGGCCTCATTACAGCCCAACCCATACTTGCTCCTTGCCACTTCACTCCATACCCATCTCCAGTTACTACACCTCACCCTGCACCCATCTACATCACTGACAACAACCTTACCCCACAGTCCACTTTCCCAACCGACACCAACATTTCTCTACCACCAAATCACCATCCCGCCATTGCCTCTCTTTTGTCTCAATATTCCTACCTTTTCACAATCCCACAGAGCCTTCCACCACAACGGCAAGTTGACCATACCATTCCTTTACTACCTAATACCAAACCCGTAAATGTACGACCATATCGTTATCCATATTCACAGAAAGCAGAAATTGAACGACAAGTGCAGGAATTGCTTGACTCCGGAGTTATTCGCAATAGTAACAACCCATTTTCTTCACCCGTTCTCCTGGTCAAAAAGAAAGATGATTCATGGCGGCTTTGTATTGATTACAGGGCACTCAATGCTGCCACTGTCAAGGATAGATTTCCAATTCCAGTGGTTGATGAACTGTTGGACGAGCTTCATGGTGCAGCTATTTTTTCCAAACTTGATCTCCGGTCGGGTTACCACAAGATCCGCATGAGCACAGAGGACATAGCCAAGACAGCCTTTCGTACACATGACGGTCATTTCGAATTCATGGTCATGCCATTTGGTTTATCCAATGCTCCATCTACGTTTCAAGCTTTAATGAATTCGATCTTCCGTCCGTACTTACGTAAGTTTGTCTTAGTTTTTTTTGATGATGATACTTGTGTATAGTCCTTCTCTACACACTCACCTCTCCCATTTGGAGCTTGTTTTCCAACTTCTATCCACACACAGCTTGAAGGTGAAGCTCAGTAAATGCTCTTTCGGCCAACCCAAGATTGATTACTTGGGCCACTCCATCTCCGGCAAAGGTGTCTCGGTGGACACTTCCAAAATCCAGGCCATCATTGATTGGCCCCAACCCACTTCAATCAAAAGCCTTCGCGGATTTTTGGGGTTGACCGGCTATTACCGGAAATTTGTCCATCATTACGGGTTGATTGCAAAGCCCTTGACAACCATGTTGCAGCAGGGCAATTTTTCTTGGTCCCCTGACTCCATTTGCTGCCTTCCAGAAACTTAAGCAAGCTTTAGCATCCACTCCAGTTCTTGCTCTCCCAGATTTCACCAAGCAATTTATTGTGGAAACTGACGCTTCCGGTATTGGCATTGGGGCCGTGTTAAGCCAGGAAGGCCACCCAATTGCCTACCTCAGTAAAGCTTTATCAGGACGAAATCTCGCTCTTTCAACCTACGACAAAGAACTGCTCGCCATTGTCTTTGCCGTCCAACATTGGCGACCATATCTTTTAGGCCAACAATTTTGAATCATTACAGATCACAAGCCAATCAAGTACTTCCTGGAGCAACGTATTACGACTCCACATCAACAACAATGTCTTGTCAAACTTTTGGGGTACAACTATTCTGTGGAATACCGACCGGGGTCTCAAAATAGCGCTCCTGATGCCCTTTCCCGCAAGGCCGAGTCACAACCACTTATGGGACTTTCCTCTCCCATATTTGAATGCATTACAGCTTTCCAACAATCTTATGCCACGGACCCCACAGTGAAGGATGTATGGCCTGCCTTGCTCAACTCCCCAGATACAACCATACGTGGGTTTTCAATCCTTAATGGCGTACTCCACTACAAGAACAGAATTTTCGTCCCCTCTACTTCACAATGGCGTCAACAGATACTAGAAGAATTTCATTCTTCTCTACAGGGCGGTCACTCGGGTTTTCTCCGGACTTATTACCGAGTGAAACACAGCTTCCTTTGGCCCGGTATACGAAAAGATGTGAAGACATATGTTGCACACTGCACCGAATGCCAGCGATAAAATCATGAGAACATCCAGCCACCGGGTCTCTTGCAGCCCTTACCAATTCCCAGCGGCATTTGGCAGGACATTGCCCTTGATTTTATCGACGGGTTACCTTCCTCTAATGGCTACACGGTCATCTTGGTAGTGGTGGACCGATTATCCAAGTATGGTCACTTCATTCCCATCAAACATCCATACACTTCCGCCTCAATCGCAGAGACCTTCATCAAGGAGATTTTTCGTCTACACGGCATGCCGAAGTCCATCGTCTCTGATCGTGATCCAACCTTTCTTAGTAACTTTTGGAAAGAATTTTTCAAGCACCAAGGTAGCAAACTTTGCCATACATCAGCATATCACCCTCAATCGGATGGACAAACAGAAGTGCTCAACCGGACCTTGGAACATTATCTTCGTTGTTTTTCTGTCGACAAACCAACCAAGTGGTCTTCTCTCCTTCCATGGGCAGAATGGTGGTACAACACCACCTTTCAATCCGCCATCAAGATGTCGCTTTTCCAAGCTCTGTATGGAGTCTCTCCTCCATCCATTCACACATACCTCCCTGGCACAACTGCAGTCCAATCTGTGGATACAGCTTTACAAGACCGTGATCGTTTGCTTCGTCTCTTACGGGCCAACTTGCAGCTTGCCCAAAATAGAATGAAGCAGGTATATGATAAAGGCCACACAGAGCGTGAATTTGTGGTGGGTGATTGGGTCTTCCTCAAGCTGCAGCCGTATCGGCAACATTCCGTCGCTATGCGCCATTCACACAAACTTGCACCCAAGTTTTATGGTCCATTTCAAATTCAGGAACGCATTGGCTCCGTGGCTTACCGTCTCCAGCTCCCACATGACTCGAAAATCCATCCAGTTTTCCATGTGTCTTTGCTCAAAAAGAAGGTTGGTGCAGCCGCTTCTCCAAATCCTACCCTTCCACCATTCGACACCACTGGGGTGTTTCACTGGCAACCTGAACAAATATTGGACAGAGGCATGTTCAAGAAGAAGAACACTGCGGTGACAAAGTGGCTAATCAAATGGGCAGGTCTGCCGGCAGAAGATGCAACATGGGAGGAAGCCAACGACATCATTGCCCGTTATCCTGAGTTTCAGACCTGAGGACAGGTCTCCTCTTAAGCGGGGGGGGGGGGGAGTTGTTAGGACCATCCTGACCATCTTGTTTGGACCTTTTAGCTCTTTATCTCAGCCCACACTTGTTAGCCTCCAACTAAGTTTTGCTCAAGGCCCAGCTTGTTTAACGCTAGGGTTTCCTTATTCAGATGTGTATAAATAATGTGCTGTATTCTGAAATGGGCATGAATGATATTGACTCTTCTTTCCTTTTCAGCCTCTATTCTCTTCTCTTCTCCTTTATAATTCCTGCACTGCTTTGTCAAATTACTGTTTTCTCTGTTGTGGACCGATTGGGCGTACCATCTTGTCACGGTAAAGTTGGAATACTTAGGGAGAAAACTGAAGGGGGAGGGGAACAAACAAGTTGCGGGGTTTTCAGTATATTTTGTTGAGAGTATCTGACATTGAAGGATGAAGTCTAACATAAAGGCTTGAAAATCCTTAACCGCAATGGCAAAAAAGATGAGAAACAAGTGTTTTCATAGAAGTCCAGTTTTGCTTTCAGAATTCATATTGGCAGAGAATGTGCTTTTTAGTAATGTTTATTTAAGTCTAGCATAAGAGCTTAAAAGATATTGGTCGCAATCGGCGAAAAAGAGGAGACACAAATGTTGTCAAGGAAGCTAAAGAAGGGTGTTCAAGTAAGATGGAAGTGATCAACAAGTTTAGTTGCACAATCTTTTTTTGTTATAGATCTATCCATCTACTTAGGTTATTTTAATGGTTTAGAAAATGTACTTTGGTTGCTTCTTCTGCTTCTTTCTCTTTTAAAGACCAATTCTTGAACCTGATGTTAATCAATTATTAATTTAGAACCCAAAAAAATGTGTTAGAATGCTTGTAAACAGGAGGTAATCACAGCTAATAAATTAGGACTAATTAACCTGTTTTCAAAGTTAATTAAACTATACTAGCCGATCAAGAATGCATGTGTACCCTCATTGAAATTTTGCACTTGTTGCTCCTATGTTTGTAAGGTTGGTGCTTTCCCATATTATTTGAAATGTGATCCAAATGAAGCATTTTTACCTTCAGGAGTCAACCGTACTTAAACTCAATGAAAGATCGATCCACATTTTTGCTTCAATTTGCAGTTTTCACATGAACCCTAATCCATTTTTTTTTCTTTTTATCTGGAGGAAACCCTAATACCTTGGACTTGGTGTTTGATTCAGAAACCTAGACGAACCAGAGGAAGCACCATAACAGGAGTTTTTAACCAGAGGAATTAGAGATGGTACGACATCCGTCATTAGAGGCCGATATTCAGCTTCTGGCTGCACACACATTGCTGCAATAGCTGCTATCTATAAAAACAACAATTATGACAAGAAAATTGTGTTAGTTAAACCATTTAGAATCAATAAGTTTCTGGTGATGATTATATAATTAATAGGAACCTAGCTAAGCTGACCTGAATTAGATCCCGCTGTGAGAATTGCCCCTGAAGAACTGGATCAACCATTTCCAATACTTTCTCTCTGTTAGTTAACCTTGGAAGAGCCTGATTAATCACATTACAAAAAATTTATCTACATTTAGTTTCCAGTTTGCATACATGCAGACTCACTATTAACAGAAATTTGCAGTTGACATACCCACGAGACAAGGACATGCTCTCCAGGAGGCCGTTTTGTGTCTATTGGCACGCGCCCTGTTAAGAGTTCTAAAAGAACCACGCCATAGCTGAATACATCTGATCTTGTAGTGAGCTTTCCAGTTGAGGCATACCTATATCACCAAAGATCCAAAAACTTCTTGAAGAATAAACGATCACAGTCATTAAGTTAAGAAACTAGTATTTACACAATGCCTTCTTGTACTCGGGATATTTGTAGATTCTTTTAGAAAAATGAAATCAGCAGACCTCTGTTTTTTTTTTTCTTTTCCCCTTCAATTCTTTTTTCATTTAATCAAATCCAAAAATTAGAAGAAAAAAAAATATTGAAAAGAAAAAAAAAATGTGCGAAAATTACTTCTCTTTTATTACAATATATTTTGCTCTACCCAAGTAACACTAAAGATGATAAAAATTGACAGCTAGTGTAATAGTGACATCGTATATACACCCATGTGCATGGATGCTTCTATTGCTGTGCCTATATTTGTGGTACTGAATGATAGTGAGAGGGGGTTCCATTACAGATGATATGTAGCACTCACTCTGGTGCCAGATATCCCGTGGTCCTCAGCACCTGCGTCGAAATCTGACCGTTGATCTTGTCAGAACCCATCTTGGCCAATCCGAAATCCGACACCTTGGCACGAAAGTTTTGATCCAGTAGAACATTGGTGCACTTGAAGTCTCGGTGTATAACAGATGGGGTGGCATGTTCATGGAGGAACACAAGGGCCTTGGCACAATCAAGGGCTATCCTCAATCGGGTCCCCCAATCCAACGGCTGATGATTGATTGTAGGATGCAGATGGCGTTGCAGAGTACCATGGGGCATGCATTCAAATATGAGGAGCCTATGGTGCTGGTCAGCACAATAGCCAAGTAGCTCCACCAAGTATGGAGAGTGCAACCGGCTTAGCAGATCAACCTACGATAGGGAGAAAATAGAAAAAATAAGGCATTTTTTTATAATAAAATATTTTTTTATAATAAAATAGATGATTATGCGATGGTAGCTCTATAGAATAGAATAATGTAGGACGTGAAACATTTCTCCTCATATACAAAGGCAAAGGATCCTATATGCTTTGAATTAGGCAATATATTAGGCATTTGGTATTTGGGATTTTTCAATTTGCTCTCACACCCCATGTGCAGAAACTAAATAAAACAGTTTAAGAATGGTATTGAATCCTGAAATTCAGACTCTAACTTTGTTTAATAAGACATAAACACACATTAAAAACAAAACTCATTTATCAAAACATTTGAAGGAAGCATAATGTGTGTGAGGGAGGGTTATTTAAGTCAACCCCTAAGTTTTGCTTTCCTAAGTGAGTTTAGATAAAACACAAGAACTAGGTCATAGCATTTTTTGAAAGATGTGTGTCTTGGTGTGTGCATGAGAGAGGGAGAGAGCCAAAAATCTTTTAGTGGAGGAGGATTTGCTTGCCACGAGGATATATTCCTCTCATAACATGGTGTGCCAAAGATTTTTTAGTGGAGGAGGACTTGCTTGTCATGCGGATATATTCCTCTTGTTTTTATGTGTTTCTGTGTCTCACCACCTAAAAGACACAAATGTATATATCCTCTAATTCAAGCAAGTTTTCTTCCGAATAAAAAATGACTTAAATGAAAAGGAGATGCTAAGATATTGGTGTTTAATACCAATTATGCAACACCGTGCATGGAATTTAAAATTATATACATCGTATTATTTCCATATTTAGTGGCCGACCCCACTTAATAAGAAAAAGCTTTATTGTTGTTATTTTATTATTTCCATATTTAATGTTGGGTAGGTTATGAAAGGTGTAGATAAGTCTCTTGGCCTAGGTATCTTCTAATGCATGTGAGTTTGTGTTGACATACAAATGAGCACCCTTAAGAAAAAAAACAAAATTTAGCTGAAGAAATAGAAGGATCAAATAGGAGGAAAACGCTAAATAAATTAAGTCACTCACCTCAACCCTAAAGGCACGCTCGCCTTGCCTGCCTTCCCTGCGCAGCATCTTAATTGTTGCCACTGTCCCATCTCTTAGGACCCCCTTATACACCACTCCAAACCTACCATGCCCTATCACATTTGCCTCGCTGAATTTATCAGTGGCTTCCTCGAGTTCTTTGTATGAGAACACTTGGACTCCTTTGTATCTACTTGGTGTTGTCAGTGCAGGTGCCCTAAATGACCTCCCAGAATTCCCTCCTTGGAGACACCCACCCTTCACATCTGCTCCAATTTCACACATACAAACATTAGAACTTGGACTTGCTCAAAATCATCTGTTTGGTTACCCCTCAAAATCATCTGTTTAATTACAATGGGATATAGAAGGGGTATTCCAAGTCATTCACAAGCGATGTCATGCGTTTTAGCATTTTCTCATACCAAATGTGACTAGCTTGGGATAACGACAGAGTGAGAAGAACTTACAACCGCAATCCCACTTTGGTGTTACCCAAAACCAATCATGCATTGCCGTGCATTTTAATTTTAGCACAGGGCATTGTGTGATTGAATTGAGACATGGCGATGGTGGCATCTTGATGTATGTGGGTAAGTTTCTTTTTGATAGATACATATGAAAAGGAAATAAAAGATGGGTATGTTTAATTACCTGGGCTAGAATTTAAGTCCACTGTGGTTTGAGCAATGAACCTGCTTTTTGTATTAATCAAGCTAGTCTCTTTGTAAATGTTACCATTTGTTTTCGTGGACTTGGCGAGCCGTCGAAGCATTAATAAGATGAAGATTATAGAAAGAATGACCATAACTGAGATGGTAGGTATGATGACAATGAGAACAGATTTTGAAAGAAAGAATCCATGGTGGTGGTGGTGGTAGGGCTGAGAATTTGAAAGGTGGTGTTTGTTAGTATGGTTTTTTCCGGCAAGGTCAAATGGCCCTGAGGGTGCAACAGTTGTGGTGTTAACTTCCATGAGCACAAAGCAATGCAGGAGAGGGAGAAAGGGAGAGAGGGAGGGAGGGAGGGAGGGAGCGAGAGAGAGAGAGAGAGAGAGAGAGAGAGAGAGAGAGAGAGAGAGGGGGGGGGGGGTGAGGTGTAAGTTTGTATATTGGGGGTTGAGTTTGTTTCCTTTCTAAGGACTCCATCTTTCTCTCCCTCTCTCCAAGTATGGTCATTTCACATGTTTCCTCTTTATCTCTCTCTATCTCTACCTCGTGAATAGCAAGTGGTTGTGTACTTGCTTCGTCTCTTCTTTTCTATTGTCTATACGAATTGTATCTGTGGTTGTATCAGAAAAGCCTTGGAGGTTTTGTCATCGATTCTCCACTCAAATCATTCAACTTTTCTTCGATAGTATGAAAAATAAATAACTGAAATTGAAATAAAAAAAATTAATAGTTGTGTAAAAAAAATCTAACAGTTAAAACACTTAAAATACTGAAGCAACATTATAAAAAAAATTTATTAAACACCAAAAATTTTGCTATTATATTTAAATAAGAATCTAATGGCAGAAAAAATCCTAATGTATAAAATATCCCCAAACATACTGGAAAGACCACAATCATTATTTCCAAATTATACAACAATCCACAACTTCCGAAATTTCCGTATTATCTGCATGCATACATGACTTGCAGACATGTGGATAATGACTTTTTTCACCAGTTGAGATGGACTTGGCAGATGTGCCAACCATGTATATAATTGCCACAGAAACGATAAAACAGTGATTGCCATATATAATTGCCACAATAACGAAATTTCCGTAGTGTCTGCCTGCATATATGACTTGGAGACATGTGGATAATGGCTTTTTTCACCAGTTGAGATGGACTTGGAATATGTGGTGTAATTTTACCTATGGATACTGAAGGGAAAAATCTTGCTCTTTTCTTCACCCAAAAAAAATTTTATTTCTTGCTTTTTTTATTTACCTTCAGTTGATGAAATTAAAATTTTTGTTTTTCTCTATGGATTCTTTGAGTGCTTCATGACCCGATGGATTTCCTAGTTCTTTCTATCAATCATGTTGGGATACTGTTAGTTTGGACGTTATTACTTTCGTAATAGCGTGTATGATTTTATCTGAATGCTAATTGCAACTTTGTGGTACTTATCCCTTAAGTAGAAGGGGATGTCGCTATTTGCTCAGTATTGGCCCATTGCTCTTGCTAACTTTTTGTTCAAAATTATTCCTAAGATTCTTGTTGATCAGCTCGGCCCTATTGCCCATTCTATTTTTAAAACGTAGATGTATTTCTAATTGCATTGGGCTGGTTTCAGAAGGGTTCAATTTATGGACAAAAAGGCTTATGGTAGGGGTGGGTTCAAAAAACCGAAAACCGAAAAAAACCGAACCGAAACCCGAACCGAGACCGAAAAAAACCGAACCGAAAAAAAAACCGAACCGAAAGTGTAAAACCGGACCGAACCGAATGTGGTTCAGTTCGGTTCAGTTTCTGGGGTTCGGAAACCGGACCGAACCGGACCGAACCGGACCGAACCGATTAATGGAAAAACGACGTCGTTTTCAGCTTCAGTTCACTCTCTTCACTTCAGTCTGAAAGACTGAAACCCTAAACATATCCATTCCCTTCCCTTTTCCTTATCGACGCCTCCCTCTCCTCTGTACTCTCACTGTGGACCATCTCCTCCCAGCTCCGCCGCTCTTCCGCTTCGTCTTCTTCCTTCCCAGTGACCTGCAACCTGTCTCACACATCTCTCGCCGACGCGACGCCGTCTCACACTCGGTATCTCACCCCCCCTGACCCGTGACTTGTGACCCGCGCACGACCCACGGCTTCCTCTCGCCGTTTTGAGTCTCGACCAACAAATTCCCTCCTTTGCAAGGTTAGTTTGTGATAAATTTTGGATTAATTTGTGATAAATTTTGGTTCTGCACTGTGATGCTTGCTTGTTCTGCACTCTCGCCATGTCTGCACTGTGATGCTTGCTTGTTCTACACTCTCGCTGTGGTCTAACACTCTCGCCGTGTCTGCTAACTGCTATGTGATGCTTGCTTGTTCTGCACTGAAATTAGGGTTGTTAGGTTCTGTTAGGTTCTCTCGATGTAGGAACTTGTGGGTTGTTAGTTTCCGGAACAATATCCTTGCCAGCATCTACAATTATCTGTTCTGTCATTATACAAATCTGGGTACGTCATTGGAAAAAGTAACCACAGGAAACCCCGGGTTAAATTTCAAACATTTTTATTGCAGTCAAGGATCGATACCCTTGAGCCTGTGATGGGAAGCAAAAATGAGAAAAAGCTGACCTACCTACCTAGAACTACAACGTCATCAAGCGAAAAAGAGAGAGGGAATGGAACCTGCTTTCAAAACTCTAAAAATTTCCTTCATGGCCTTGTGTTTGTCTGTGTTCACAAGTAACTTCATCATTCAACTTCATGATTGCTAATTCACAAGTAACTGTTGTTTAGTTTACTGTGTGACATGTGAACTGCTGCCTTGTGTTGTGTATTGCCTGGTTATTTTGTTGCACAATGATTGGAACAAACAATTAGCTCTCAAGAATCCACTCTCTCTCAGTAATCGAGTATGATTCCATGTGAAAGAACAAATTAATTTCAAGCAAAGTTTCAAAATAAAGCAAATCTAGGTTTATGATCTGCTTTGTCCATTCAAATTCTCATTGGATAAATATATATATTGACTTAGAGACCAACTAATCTTTGATTTAGTCATAGCATGTGTTCACTAGTTGAACTCCGCCTATGTCTTACATGGCCGGTCCCAAGCCCGGATAAAGGAGGAGGGGGGAGGGCGTCAGGTAGTCGACAGCCGGCACTCCATGATCACGTCGAATCCTTATGAAAATGAATCCAGAACAAAATCGCGCTAAAGCTAGGGCGTCACCCGTAAGTGGCGCGCTGTGTGGCCCGAGCACAGTGATAAGTGAGCAAGGGTCGCTGTATCTCCATCGGCACCCGGATGCAGTGTTAAATGAGCAAGGGGGCCATAGAAACTTCTTTTCGAACGACTCCACTCAAAGTTGTTTGGGAGCATATGCTCCTATCAACTTTACCCGGGACACACAAAAGAAGTACTTTGATCCTATTAGACGGGGGAGGGTGAAGAAGCTAGGACAGAAGGGTAGAGTTCAAGAGAGCAAAATGCGTTTAGGAACGTGGAATATAGGAACCTTAACGGGAAAATCTATGGAAGTAGTGGAAGTTATGGTGAGGAGAAGGATAAATATTATGTGCCTACAAGAAACTAAGTGGGTTGGTAGTAAGGCAAAGGATCTAGAAAACTCAGGGTTTAAACTTTGGTATTCGGGCACAAATAGAACGAGAAACGGTGTTGGCATCATCGTGGACAAGACCTTGGTACAAGATGTTGTAGATATCAAGAGGGTAGGAGATAGAATCATGGCAATCAAGATTGTAATAGGACAAGAACTTATCAATGTGATTAGTGCGTACGCACCTCAAGTAGGGTTGGATACGAGTTCGAAGGAGAAATTTTGGGAAGATCTTGGAGACTTGGTGCAAGGAATTGCTCAGACGGAAAAAGTTATTTATAGGAGGAGATTTAAATGGACACGTGGGCAGGGAGACAGGCAACTATGGAGGTTTTCATGGTGGCCATGGTTTTGGGGAGAGAAACGAGGATGGGGAAGCTATCTTGGATTTTGCAATGGCATATGATCTCTTCTTAGCCAACACCTTCTTTAAGAAGAGAGAAGAACATGTGATCACCTACAAGAGTGGGTCGTCAAAAACACAAATAGATTTTCTTCTAATGAGGAAAGGGGATCGTATAACTTGTAAGGATTGCAAAGTTATACCAGGAGAGAGCGTGGCTAATCAACATCGCTTGTTGGTGATGGATGTACATATCAAAAGAGTAAGACAAAAGAACAAGACTTGGAAGTGCCCAAGAACTAGATGGTGGAATCTAAAAGAAGAAAAACAAGCCATTTTCAAAGAGAATGTAATCACCCAATGTGTGTGGGATAGAGAGGGGGAAGCTAGCCAAATGTGGAATTCCATGGCTAGTTGTATCCGAAAAGTAGCAAAAGAGGTATTAGGAGAGTCCAAGGGCTTTGCCCCACACCAAAAGGAATCTTGGTGGTGGAATGAGGAGGTACAAACAAAGGTGAAGGCTAAGAAGGAATGTTGTAAAGCCTTATACAAGGAGAGGACCGATGAAAATGGTGAAAGGTATAGAAAAGCGAAGCAAGAGGCGAAGAAAGCTGTCAGAGAAGCTAAGTTAGCGGCTTACGACGATATGTATAAACGACTAGATACCAAAGAAGGAGAGTTGGATATCTATAAACTAGCTAGAGCAAGGGAAAAGAAGACAAGGGACCTAAACCAAGTGAGGTGCATCAAGGATGAGGATGGAAAGGTTCTTGCTACAGAGAACGCGGTTAAAGACAGATGGAGAGGTTATTTTCATAATCTTTTCAATGAAGGACATGAAAGGAGTGCTTCTTTAGGGGAGTTGAGTAACTCAGAAGAGTGTAGAAACTACTCCTTTTATCGTCGAATCCGGAAGGAAGAAGTGGTTGTAGCTTTGAAGAAGATGAAGCATAGAAAAGCAATAGGCCCAGACGATATACCAATCGAAGTGTGGAAAGTTTTGGGAGAGACAGGTATAACATGGCTCACTGACCTTTTCAATAGGATTTTGAAAACGAAGAAGATGCCAAATGAGTGGCGAACGAGCACTTTGGTGCCTATCTACAAGAATAAGGGCGACGTACAAAATTGCATGAACTATAGGGGTATTAAGCTAATGAGTCATACAATGAAGCTCTGGGAGAGAGTCATTGAGCATAGATTGAGGCAAGAGACACGGGTTTCGGACAACCAATTCGGGTTCATGCCAGGGCGCTCAACCATGGAGGCAATCTATCTCTTACGAAGATTGATGGAAAGATATAGAGATGGGAAAAAGGATTTACACATGGTCTTTATAGATTTGGAAAAAGCGTATGATAGGGTCCCAAGAGACATTCTTTGGAGGATTTTAGAGAAGAAAGGAGTACGAGTAGCATATATCCAAGCTATAAAGGA